TAACAGAGTGATTTTGTTTCTACCTACTACTTACTGGCTGTGAAGTTTAATCCTTAGTTCTGGAAATGATACTGGGCTGCTCATGGTGTCATATACAGATTTCCTTGAGTATAATCTTATTTTGTTTTCCTCTTGATCTATAGATCTTTTGGGAACCAGGCTTGAAAGTGAAGGTGATAGCCTCCTGCAGACTCAGGCATGTCTCTGCTATATTTGTGCAGGGAATGTAGAGAAATTAGTTGCATGTTGGACTAAAGCTCAGGATGGAAACAATCCTTTGTCCCTTCAGGTTAGTATCTTTGAAACAAAGGATGCTTCCTTTTCAGTTGTCTTTCACCCTACTTATAGTTTAGAAATTGATTTGTTCCAGAAGTTCATTGCTTTTACCCTTACTTATTTACATTTCAGTTCTTTTTCTGGATAATTATGTGTATTTATTGTTGTATTTAGTGGGGCAAAGTTTGAGATGATGGGATAAGTTAAATGGGGTTGCAACTGTTTGTGAGGTCAAGGTTGTTAAAGGTGGCTTATTGGGGGAACTAGGTAGCTAAAGCATGAAAACATCCCTTGCTTTACTTCTTTTCCTCATGCTACTCTCTCTACCTCTAATGACACTGTCTGCTTTGGGCAAAGAAAGAAGCAATGTGGGGTAACAAATGGGAGGTATCACCAATACCAATAGAGAATCTTCATGGTTAATGGGAAATGAAAGTAAGAGGTCAGTGTAATCCTATGTAGCATTAATACATGGACAAGCGAGAAAGTAAAAAATTATTCTCAGGCACTGACTAATTATATATTTCAGTTTTTCCCCCTAAGCATTTAATCAGCAGAGTCTCTTGGTATTTCAGTCTAAATTTTTTTTTTTCTTTCTGGAAAGATGTTTTTCAGTAGGGTTGTTGCTTTAAAGATCACTCTGTTGAAACTGAAAATCTGGTAGGAAATCAAGGTTTCCTATGTGCTTCTGAGAGAGAACACACTTCTGGATTTATGAAGGGCAGATAGGTAGGATATTCTTGTGCTTTATACCTGAAGTATGGCTCCCATTTTTTTTAATATATATATTTTATTGATTTTTTACAGAGAGGAAGGGAGAGGGATAGAGAGTTAGAAACATCAATGAGAGAGAACCATTGATCAGCTGCCAAGTTACATGCCCTTGACCGGAATCGAACCTGGGACCCTTCAGTCCGCAGGCCGACGCTCTATCCACTGAGCCAAACCGGTTAGGGCTGGCTCCCATTTTTTAAAACATTGTTATCGAAGAACAACATGAGAAATTTTGGGTTAAAATAGTAAGCGCATTTGAAGCTCACCTCATAGTAGTACTGTTTTTATAATACTGATAATGTGAAGTGTTCACTCATAGTTTCTCTTATACCTGCTGGAATCCAAGTTTCTGCCTTTGGACATCTGCCTCTCAGTTTCACTTTGGATATTTGCCTATTTTAGCTTATAAGTATCTGGCAGTTTAAGGAAGTTTAGGAGAAGGTGGTAACCTATGCCCTATTCATGAGTAAGAGACCTTCTTCCTCCTTACTTTTTCAGTTACCTAAATGGTGGTCAGCTATTACAGACCTTTTTAAGAGAGATGATGATAGGTACTGTACTTTTAGTAGGTTTTGGAAATCTTAGTAACTCTTTTCCTGTTTCTTCTCATACACATCTTGGAATCTTTGTCTTTCTCCTTTACTCTCCTTTCTTTTTCTCATTTAGGATCTGATTGAGAAAGTTGTCATCCTACGGAAAGCTGTACAACTCACACAAGCCATGGACACTAATACTGTAGGAGTTCTTTTGGCTGAGAAGATGAGTCAATATGCCAATTTGTTGGCAGCCCAGGGCAGTATTGCCGCAGCCTTGGCATTTCTTCCTGAAAGCACCAACCAGGTAATTCATTTTTCTCCTTCTAATGTGTGAGTATGATGAGTCCCATAGAATAACGCTCAGTATTAAACATAAATACACTAGTAGGTGGAATGTTTGTAAGGGTTGAATTTTTGTCACATGACTGTAGGTGAATGTTTTGTCTGACAGTTTTGTTTCTTTTTAAATATATTTTTATTGATTTCAGAGAGAAAGGGAGAGGGAGAGAGAGAGAAACATCAATGATGAGAGAGAACCACTGATCAGCTGCCTCCTGCACGCCCCACACTGGGGATCGAGCCCACAACCCGGGCATGTGCTTTTGATTGGAATTGAACCTGGGACTCTTCAGTCCACAGGTCAACACTCTATCCACCGAGCCAAACCAGCTAGGACTGTCAGTTTTTCAAGGATCACTTTAGGTGTACCCAAGCTGTGTCAGAGAGATAGGATGCTCTTGTAGTATGATACAAAAGGGGCATAGTACTTGAGGAAGAGAAATAGGGAAAGGACCAACTTTTTGTTTCTTAAGCCAAATGCTAATTCTGTCCACAAGTTTCTTTGTAGGAATTTTCCATGTTGAAAAGCTATAAATGTTAATACTTTTATCAGACTAGTGGGCTGTAACTTAAAAATTCCCACAAGGTCCATCCCAGATATTAATGATGAAGTTCATTCGATTTGCCATTTCAGTCTGATACCATGTGTGAGCAAGTATGTTTTTAAGTATTCAAGGCAGGAGAACTACATTACATTCCTAATTTAATTTCCTTATTTGGTGTGCAATAACACTCAGGCTTTTCATTATATTGGTTTAATTCAAATCAATAAGTAAGTGAGTATACAGTGATGAGCAAGAGTGCCAAGATCCTTTTCCTGGGGGAGTTTCCAAACTCAAAATGACTGTGGACAAATGAACATGAAATTCCAAAAGTGCAGAGTGCTGTGGTAGAGGTAGTGCTGTGGGAACACAGAAGAGGGAAACCTAAAACCCATAATGGGGCATGGGTGGGAGTAAGGGTAGGGTTTGAGGAAAGTATTTTGTTTTTTATAAACATTTAGAAAAATATATTTTTATTATTTCAGAGAAGAAGGGAGAGGAAGAGAGATATAGAAACATCAATGATAAGAAAGAATCATTGGTTGGCTGCCTCCTGCATGCCCCCTACTGGGGATCGAACCTGCAACCCAGACATGTGCCCTGACCAGGAATCGAACCGTGACCTCTTGTTTCATAGGTTGATGTTTAACCATAGAGCTATACCAGCTGGGCTGAGGAAAGTTTTTATAACTACACTGTGTGTCTGCAGCTTATTTTTGAGCTTTGCAGATATTTTTTCTCTATACTGTATTTTTTTTTTCCTGTGTATGAATGAGTCTATGGTTTTTAATTTAATTTTTTAAATCTTTATTGTTGAAAGTATAACATATGTCCTCTCCCCCGCCCCATTGACCCCTTTTAGCCCACCCCAGGCCTTCACCACCCTAATGTCTGTATCCATGGGTTATGCATATATGCATACAAGTTCTTTGGTTTATCTCTTCCCAACCTCCCCCACCTTTTTATTGTAAACTTTATTCTGTTTTTATGGATTTTTTTAGTTAAAATTGTTTTTAGTATTTTGTCTGTGTTAGGGAATTACCAATAAATTTCATTGAGTAAAAACACATCTGTGGCCGAAACCGGTTTGGCTCAGTGGATAGAGCGTCGGCCTGCGGACTAAAGGGTCCCAGGTTCGATTCCGGTCAAGGGCATGTACCTGGGTTGCGGGCACATCCCCAGTAGGAGATGTGCAGGAGGCAGCTGATTGATGTTTCTCTCTCATCGATGTTTCTAACTCTCTATCTCTCTCCCTTCCTCTCTGTAAAAATATCAATAAAATATATTTAAAAAAAAACAAACACACATCTGTGTTCTAGGACTGTGGTGGTATGATTCTGCAGTTGGTTTTATATACACTTACATGTAGGAGACAGCTCATATTTTTCTAAATTATTATTTTTTTTAGTTTTTTTATTTCAAGAAAAATGATTTTAAATATAATAATGTTACATGCAATAAACATTAATATCTCAAGATAAAGATTTTACATATGATATTACATGCAATAAACACCAATTATTCAAGAAAGATTTTACATATGATAATGTTACATTCAATATACATTAATATTTCAATAATAAAAGGATTTTAAGTATAATAATATTACCAAAACTGTACTAACATAGTATGATCTCACAAAAGTGGCAGGAAATATTAAAAATCTGAAAATAACAGGATTATTTTTATTATATTCTAGAATATTTTTCCCCTCTGGCTCTATTTTTGTTCATCAGTTTATGTTGTTCATTATATTCCACAAATGAATGAGATCATGTGATATTTATCTTTTCTAAATTATTAATAAGTATATTAGGTAGAATAGAAACTTAATCTTTATGATGACTTTTAAAAAATATATATATTTTAATATTTATATTTATTTTATATATATATGTTTAATTGATTTCAGAGAGGAAGTGAGAGGGAGAGAGAGAGAAACATCAGTGATGAGAGAGAATCATTGATCGGCTGCCTCCTACATACCCTGTACTGGGGATTGAGCCTGCAACCTGGGCATTTGCCCCTGACCAGAATTGAACCCGGGACCCTTCAGTCTGCTGGCTGATGCTCTAACCACTGAGAAAAACCAGCTAGGGCTTTGATAACTTTGACTTAATAGTTTTATATGACTTTTTACTTAATATAGTCTCATTTTTTAAAAATTATTTAGAGGAGAAGGGGGAGATAGGGGTTGGGGGAGGGAGGGAGGGAGAGAGAGAGAGAGAGAGAAACATAAACATTGATTAGTTGCCTCCTGCATGCGCCCTGACCAGGCCAGGGATTGAACCCACAACCTAGCTATGTGCTCTGACCAGGAATCAAACCTGCAACCCCTCAGTGTACGGGCAATGCTCCAACCAACTGAGCCACACCAGCTGGGGCAGGTCTCATTTTTATATTATTGAGTTATAAGATGCTTTTCAGACTAACTTAATCTAAGATCTTTAGATCTTCTAGCCTTAGAATTAAATGGTTTATTTTCAGTACTGTTTATAGCCACATACATTTTCTTTCTTTCTTTCTTTTTTTTTTTAATATGGAATGTTTCACCAATTTGCATGTCATCCTTGCACAGGGGGCCATGCTAATGTCTGTATCGTTCCAATTTTAATACATGTGCTGCTGAAATGAGCACCACATACATTTTCTATACATTCTTCTTTATGGTTTTCTTTGGACTTCTAAAGAATGTTTTTTATATAAATGTAATCTTGATGTTTCTTTCTCCTACGTATCTTAGTAGACCCTTAGTATTTTCTGGAGAATATGTCCCAAGATTTTTTTTTTTTAAATATATTTTATTGATTTTTTACAGAGAGGAAGGGAGAGGTATAGAGAGTTAGAAACATCGATGAGCGAGAAACATCGACCAGCTGCCTCTTGCACGCCCCCTACTGGGGATGTGCCCGCAGCCAACGTACATGCCCTTGACCGGAATCGAACCTGGGACCCTTGAGTCTGCAGGCCGACGCTCTATCCACTGAGCCAAACTGGTTAGGACCCAAGATTTTTTTTTTTAAAATATATTTCTTTATTGATTTCAGAGAGGAAGGGATAGGGAGAGAGAGACAGAAACATCAATGAGGAGAGAGAATCATTGATCGGCTGCTTCCTGCATGCCCCATACTGGGGCTGGAGCCCACAACCCGGACATGTGCCCTTGGCCAGAATTGAACCCGGGACTCTTCAGTCCACAGGCCAACGCTCTATTCACTGAGCCAAACCGGCCAGGGTTGTATTGAGATTTTTTTGATATCGTTATAGCATACAATTATCCTCCATAAAAGACAACAAAGAATACCTAAAATGTCTAAATGACATGAACTTATAGAAACGTATAATTTTAAAGGTATTGAAATGAATTCTTGCTTAAACAGTTTAACGTTGCCTTTTTGTCGTTAATATAGAACATGTATATAGTCAGCTCATACTGTAAATCTGCATAGTTGTAGATCTGTATAATTTCTTTGAGTTTGACATCTTATTTAAAACATCTTTTTAAAGTAGCTTTTATCTCTTTCTTAGAGCATCATTTTCTTTCATCACCATCTTTAGCAGTTGATTCTCTTTTGGGGCCTTTTTCCCTACAAAGAAACAAAGTTATATTTTTTAACTACTTTTGTGATTTGTGAGCATTACTCAACTATAAGAAAACAACAGAAGAGCAGTGATGAGAAGTGACATTGATCTTGTATGCCATCATGTGGTCAGCATAATTCAAATCACTGCGTCAGTTACATTACAAGTTACTCTATGTATAATGGACCTTTGGTGTCAAGTTTTGAGTATTAGAATGATGTCAAAACCTAATGTGCAAGGTCTATCTATCTACACTAATAAAAGAGGAAAATGGTAATTGGCGTACAGCGCTACCCTTTTCATTGGCTAATCAAGGCTATATGCAAATTAACTGCCAACTAAGATTGGCAGTTAACTGCCAACAAGATGGCGGTTAATTTGCATATGTAGGCACAATGCAGGGAGGCGAAAGGGAAAGCAGGAAGAAGCCCCCTGCCACTGACAGTGATCGGAAACCCAGGGGGGAGCTAAGAGCTGGGGGGGCCGCCTTTGCCCTGCCCCCCAGCCATGATCAGAGAATCAGGCGCCTTTTCCGCCCTGGCCAGTGATAGCAGGAAGTAGGGGTGGAGCCAGCGACGGGAGCTGGGCATGGTCGAAGCTGGCAGTCCCGGGAGCTAGGGGTCCCTTGCCTGGACCTAAAGCGGAGTCCGCGATCTCGGGGCCGCTGCAGCTGCGGGTCCCTGCTGCCCGAGCCGGACGCCTAGGCCAGAGGCGTTAGGCCTGGGCAGGGGCGGAGCCTGCAACCGCGGGGAGCTGGGGGTCCCCTGCCCAGGCCTGACACCTCTGCCGGAGGCCTCAGGCCTGGTCAAGGGGCCGATCCGGTGATTGGTGATCGGAGGGTGATGAGGATCAACTCCTCTGGCCGAGGCATCAGGCCTGGGCAAGGGGCCGATCCTGCAATTGGAGGGTGATGGGGGTCAACACCTGAGGGCTCCCAGTATGTGAGAGGGGGCAGGCTGGGCTGAGGGACACTCCCCCACACACACACCCAGTGCACGAATTTCATGCACCGGGCCCCTAGTATATATATAACAGCCTAAGTGACCATTTTGACCGAACGACTGGAACAACCGGTTGACCAGTTGCTATGACATGCACTGACCACCAGGGGGCAGACGCTCAACACAGGGCAGCTCCCACAGCTAACCTCCTGCAGCCCGGCCCTGCCGGCCCCCCCATCGGCCCTGATCAGGGGGCCACCAGCCAACTTCCCATGGCCCTTCCCCCCCACCCATCACCAGCCAAGTCGAGGGACCCCACCTATGCACAAATTTGTGCACCGGGTCTCTGGTTGTAAAATACACAGTGTATGAGCAGATACAGTGATCAAGCTTATAGTCAAACCTCAGTACTTGAACATCTCTCATCTATAGCAATTCGGTTCTCAGCCAAGTTATTCATGGGAAAAATGTCTTGGTTGTTGAACAAAACTGGATCTCCACTCTACAACCCATTCATGTTGATACCTGTGTGATCAGTCACGAGTTTCTCAAGGAACAAACAAAGGAGAGAATGTGCGAGTATGAGTCAGTTTACTGCTAAACTTGCATTGTTAACATCTCAGGAAATTGTGTTGTGAATATTTTTGTGTTTTTTTGCTTTTGTTGCTGCTCATTTTTTTTTTCCCTTTTTTAATTTTATCCCACTCGTGTCACTCTGTGCTTGTCCCTTCCCCTCAACCCTGACCCTCTCCCTCCTTCACCCTGCCCTGGCCTGCTGGCCTGCTCCGCCCCTCCTGCCATGGGGCAAGGTTAAAGGCTGAAAAGGACAGGACAGACAATATTTGGGATCAGCATTGGGGATCAGATGGCCCTGCAAGGAGGTCTGTTCCTGCTAATATTACTAAATACCTATAATAAGTCACCCTGGGTCCTAAGAAGGTTAGTGATAGCAACAAAGTGAAAAAGAAAAATTGTGAGAACAAAGTAGGGGTCTGGAGCAGATGAATTCAATTTACATTACTTCTGATGGGGGAAAAAAGATTCAGTTTTTGAACAATTCACTTCTACAAATCGCTTCTCAAACAAGGTCGAGAACCAAGGACCACTGTACTTTAAGAAAATCAACATACTGTCATATATTGGGGTGAACTCTAACAATTTGCCTTGTTTTCTTTCATTGCTTCTTATAGCCAAATATTGTGCAGCTTCGTGACAGACTTCGTAGAGCACAAGGAGAGCCTGTACCAGGACAGGAATCACCTCAAGTACCTTATGAGAGGCAGCAGCTGCCCAAGGGCAGGCCTGGACCAATTGCTGACCACACACAGATTCCAAGAGTTCCAACTCAACAATATTATCCCCATGTGAGTGAAATGGTCCAGATGACGTAGGAACATTTATGTGTTTCTGTTCAAATTGGTGGTTTTAGCTTGTTGCGTTAAGAGACCTTGTATGCTATGATAAAAATAGACAACATTTCTTCAAATATTTAAGGTGTGCTTTTATTTATTTTAAGATATTTTTTTAAAATTAGCCCTTTAATCTAGTCCAATAGATTATATTTTAGATATACACTTAAGCTCTCTAGGGAGATTTCTTATTTTTTCATCACTCAAACTTTCCTTACACATGTACGTTTGTTCTTGAAACTTCTACAATTTGATTCATTTACCAAACTGTAAGTAAAGTGGTGGCAACAATTTTGTGGTTAATTTTAGAAAATAGTCTTTTTTGAGTATTCTTTCCTGAATCATTAGTGTAGGTTTACTGTGTCTTCTGTATCAGCATGATAAGGAGTATTGAGAATACACACTTTTTTGGGGGACAACTTGGATATTACAGAAAAGTGAGTGACCAAGGGTTTATGAAGTTGTAGTTCACAGTGGGTGTGAAAATGATTAAATATTTGTATTAATTAATTAATTAATTAATTAAAATTGCCAAAAGTTCAGTGGCATAAAATGTGTCCCTTATTGTCTTTTACTATTTCATGTAGAGACTTATATTTCTAGACCATCAGATAACCTTAGTGTTCTTAAAGGAAAAGTATATTTTCATAAGTAATATATGGTCTTGATTGAACAAAGTTAACAGGTAGTTGGCCTATTTTATTTTATAAATTTTTTTACTTTGCCCATTTTAAAATAGAACAATTTGCTAATAGAATTGACAGTCTTTCTTTTTTTATTTTTTTAAAATATAATTTTATTGATTTCAGAGAGGAAGGGAGAGGGAGAGAGAGATAGAAACATCAACGATGAGGGAGAATCATTGATCTGCTGCCTCCTGCATGCCCCCCACTGGGGATTAAGCCCGAAACCCAGGCATGTGCCCTGACCTGGTTTCGAACTGTGATCTCCTGGTTCATGGGTCAATGCTTAACCACTGAGCCACACTGGCTGAGCGGCAGGGTCTTTCTTACATTTCATTGTAGCGAAGTAAATATAAAATGAAAAATTTTAAAAAAATCAAATCATGCTTTTTGGCCTATTGTACTTTTTTGGTGTGTACATAAATCAAGATAGATTACATTTGGTAACAACTAGAGTACTCTCTGTTTTAGCAGTTTTGTTTTTTATTCATTTGACAAATATTTATTGAGAGCCTACTATGAGCGCCTACCCTTATTCTACCTGTTAGAGGTATATTGGTAAACAAAACAGATTTAATTCTTCACTTTTGTGGAGATTAAGCCTGACTTGGAAAGTCTATGACATAGGTAGGGCAGATGAGGTGATTGCTGGGAAAACTGAGAGGTGGAGGGGTCAAGCAACCAACCAGAGTTTTAAGACATAGAGCTTGAATTTTTCACTATTGTGTGGCTAATTAATTGGCAGTTTGGGACTAGAACTTCTAAGCACCATGAGTTGGACCACACTGTCTCTCAGATACTGAAGTAGTAAGGCATTCTGTACATGGGGAGAAGAGAGTATTTACTCTTTATGTCCCTGGGCTTATCTGTCTTTCTAGAAAAACACAAAAACATCAAGACTTTTGTTTTACTTTGACTTAGCAGTCTCATACTTTAAGAAAAGAAAGACAGACTCAACCATAAATTAAGCAGTAATTTTCTTGATTAAAGTTTATGCTATGCTGAATGAGGACAGTGGCTTAT